TATTTTGATTATGTTACTAATACATGTCTTTTATTATTTTTACCTTCTTGAAAAGATATGGATGCCAAATTTTTTGGAGCCGATGACAATATCAACCTTATTGACAATGCTACGACTCACAGCATTCTGAAAAACAAAAGTTATTTCTCCCATCTGAATATGAGAAAGACCACAATTGCTACTATTAGTAGTGCATCGAAAATGACTAAAGGCTTAGGAAAAGCTATCGTATATCTCCCACAAAGTGGATTTGAATCCTCAGCTTTTCTGGAAAGAATTCAGGGTGATAATTGTGGACTAATAGATCCCCCGTGTGGACCTTTCAAGTAATTTATGGTACTAATCGACGCGTCAACACGATGGTCACACATATGCCTATTATCTACTCGCAATCTAGCTTTCGCTAGACTACTTGCACAAATAATTAAATTGCGAGCACAATTCCTAGATCACCCAATAAACAAAATTTTTTTAGATAATGTTGGAGAGTATTCATCACATACATTTGATGATTATTGTATATCAATTGGGATTACTGTGGAACATCATGTTCCTCATGTACATACGCAAAATGGTTTGGAAAAGTACCAAATATATCTCACATGCGAATTTTTGGATGTGTTGTTTATGTTCCAATTGCGCCACCTCAACGCACGAATATGGGACCTTAAAGAAGGTTGGGTATACATGTCGGATATGAATCACCCTCGATTGCATAATATCTTGAACCAACAACGGGTGATTTATTTACTGCAAGATTTGTAAACTGTCATTTTGATGAATCTCATTTTCTGACATTAGGGGGAGATAGTAATCAACTGAAAAAAAGAAATTTCGTGGAAAACACCACTTGAATTTGATCCTCGTACGAAACATAGTGAACTTGAAGTTCAAAGAATTGTGGATTTGCAAAAAATTGCAAATCAATTGTGTGACTTTAATGATGTTGCTAGAGTTACGAAATCATATATTGCAACAGCAAATGCACCAGCTAAAATAAATATCCCAAAAGGGAAGGTGCCGAGTGCTAATGAGCATACTATCCGCGTAAAACGTGGCAGGCTGTTGGGTTCCAAGTGTCACAGACCGAAATCCGTGACCGAAGATGACCGAAAGAAGAAGCCAAAACCCGGAGGCTAGTCCGAGACTTTGTAAATAAAATTAGAACTTGTGTAGAGTAGTTGGGGGTTGGTAGATAGTTGGTGAAAAATAGTAGGTGGGGGTTGGTAGATAGTAGGTGGAAGATGGTAGGTGGAGGTTGGTAGAAGATGGTAGGTGAGGTTGGTAGATAGTTGGTGGAAGATGGTTGGTAGGGGTTGGTAGATAGTTGGTGGAAGATGATAGGTGGGGGTTGGTAGATGGTAGTTGGGAGATTATAAATTTGTATAAATAGGTGGTAGTGCTCATTTGTAAATGATCAAGTTGAGAGCAATAACACATACTTTCCCTCACTACTTCCTCTCTCTACGATTCTTGAGTGTTCTTGATCGTGTTCTTGAGTGTTCTTGAAGGTGTCCGAAGAAAGGTTGTACTAGCAACCTCTAAGTGTCCGGAAGTTGCTAGGACGCACGGAAGGTGTTCGAGGAACAACCAGGTGGTCCGTGACAGTGGTATCAGAGCTTTGTTAGAGTCTAAGTCAGTGAGGGATGGCTAGTGAAGGGTCCAACTTGACGAATATGAACGAGGGTAAAAATGATGGTGTCAATGAAGGGAAGCACCGCCGAAAATGCAAACGTTGTCCATCTGTGGATGTCATAAGCGCTTTTGATGCAAGGCTAGAGCATGTGGAAGATTTCCTCGGTAGGAATTCCGAAAGGATCGATGAGGTCGATCAACGTCTCGACGAGGTCGAGAAGGAGATGCGTGAGGATTTGACGAAGTCTGTCACAGAGGGACTAGAACAGTGTCGCGATGGGGCGGAGGAAGTGACGTGGTCACTTGGTGCCGAGATGGCCAAGCTCAAGGAGGAGGTGACAGCGTGTCGCCTTGAGTTGGCCAAACAAGATAAGGCTGGTATGATTTTGATATAGTTTAAAGATTCTGCCAGCTTCACAACCTGAGCAGCTTTTCGTTGCTTGGCTTCCTTTCGTAGCTTTCGCTCAACCTTCTCGATCTCAAGATTAAATATCAGTTCACCTGTACGAGAAGAACGGGGCATAAACAAGAGGATAAATTAAAATAACACAAAAGAGTAAAACAAAGCGCCAATCCCCGGCAACGGCGCCAAAAATTGAACTGTCGCGCGGTTAATCAAATATTTCACCTACTCCGTGATCACAATTTAATGTAATATAGGGGAAGGGATCGTCTCCACAGGGATTGTGTGATTCACTCTTTCGTGTTCTAATGCAGTAAATAAAGGGAGATTTTTCTTTTATTATCTAATTAAAATAAAATAACAAAGCAATTAAATTAAAGGGGAACTGACTATAAGGGGATGCCTGGCTCAAGGGATGATGCAGTTATGACACTTGTGTTCTATCATTAATTCAATAAAATTAATTCTTATTAAAGTATCAATAAATTGGTTATAGTTATCAACAAGCTCTGACAACCAATTTTTCCTTACAGTGTAGGTAATTAAAGTATGACCGTTCTAATTAAGCAAATAAACCTAGGTGTGCCCATAAGAATATTGCCTAACCGCATTCCAATCTAGAAAAACCCAATTCAAAACAATTACTACTTAAGAGGAGCAATTAGATTTGATTGTCTAACCCCCGGGAAGGAACTATTCAACCCGGTTGTCACCTATTCAAGTGCGAATACAATTACGGATATCCTACTTGAATTGACTTTAGATTATCAAACTAATTTAAATATCGGTACCAAAATATTCAATCAATCTAACAATCATAAACGCTATTCTCAGAATTAGACAAATATTGATAATCAAAAAGAACTTTTATAAAGAAAATCAAGAATCTCCAAAAAAAAAGAACCAAAACATTATCACCCCTCAAACCAGAAAAGTATCTACTCCATAATTAAATAACAAAGAACAAAAGAGAAAGATGAAGTCATAGTGGGAGGGGAAATCTTCTCTGTCGATTTGCTCCTGCGCGATCTATGGATCTGTCAGTCTCCTGCTCCTGTGCGTATCTGCCATAGCCGTTCTCCCCCTTTTGAAACGTGTGATCCCTCCTTTTATTTAATGTTTGCCCTAATTATTTTGTAGATGGGCTTTTGGGCCTTTAATTAATTTTATTTCTTTTTTCTGCCAATTATGCCAAATTTAATATTTGTCCTCTGCACACAGCAAATAAAAAATTCACATATAAATTAGGTAGAATCCAATCAAAATCACCAAATTATCGCATATGATATGAATATAAAACGCATGCGATTTCTAACTATCAATTCTCCCCACACCTAGATCATGCTTGCCCTCAAGCATAAATTCGAAATAAGCCAAAGAAATCGCAGGCAACTCGATATGACAAGAGGATCCAACACAACCAATTCAATCCGACTTTTAACACATCAAGCCAAGTTAACCTCACAAGATTAAGTGTTTTCTCACATGCTCTCTGAAGGAATTAAATGTATAATTGGCTCAACACTCAGGTAGTGCACCAAAAGATTATCCTATAGGCTTGAGTAAAAATCAAATTTCCCTTACTTAAAATATTCGAATCTAGCATAAAGAATCAAAGGGACTTTCAATAAGGGTTGTAACGGGGCTTATGGTCGGGGTAGGAAAAAGGATATACAAGGGCTAAAATATGTCATAAAACAACACAATAAGAACACGATGCTAGCACATGAAGAACAAATCGGCATAAACAATCAAATCCTTACTCTATTCACTACCAAAACTTTAATAATGAACTTAAATGAAAATACTTTATTAAGATAATTATTATTATTTTTATTTTTATTTTTTTTTGTTTCTTCTTTTTTTTTTCGTTTTTTTTTAATTTTTATTTCTTTTTTTTTTATTTTTGAATTTTTTTTATATATATATATACCTACACTACCCACAGTTATTCCTTCATCCTATAACTTATTCGTACCCAAAGTTCGTTTCTAACTAGTGCCGAAGAAATAAAGTGCATCACAACATGGACTTAAAGTAATTCTTTCTAACATAGGGTTCAAATTGGAGAAGGCTCAATCGAAAGAAGGGTATGAGGCTAAAAAAACAGTTTATTATAAAAGAAAAAATAGGCTAAGAAGGCTCAAATGGGCTAACTAGGGGAATATATTGTGCTGGGTAATAAAGAAAGGCTTAATGGGTTACCTAATGCCCTTATCGTTTTCAAAACGCAAGACCCGATAGTTGTAAGTTTAAAATGCATAATCACTCAAGTTCTAGGTCATCTAATTGAGCACTACAAATCACACATGAAAAAAAAATTTTCCAAAAGCTTGAATATATGCAATTTATTTTCTACTGTGACTTTTGGAACATAGGCTCAAATTTTCACAGGGTTCAAACGTCGACTTGACTCAACATTTCACCAATCAAATCTCATTAGTCATGCAAAACTAACCTATCACACAAATCACCTTTGACTCACTTCAAACTAATCTAAAAAATATGCGAAAAGACAGCAAATCAGGCATAAAAATAGCACAAAATCTCTCCCCACACCTAAAGTATGCATTGTCCTCAATGTAAAGAAAGCAATAAAAGAAGAGAGGAACTTCCCTGGAGTCCATAGGGGGTGTAGTAGTTGGGAGGTTTTTTAACACTTCTTCATTTGATCGTGATTTTTAGGGAGGCTTGAAGTTCTCCTGAGTCCTGCGAAAACAACTAACCAACGCAAGCCATTTAGAGGAGCGGATGTGGTGATCGGTGATGACTGAGCAGGGAAGGAAGAAGTCGACGGCGCCGGAGGTTGGAGGTGGCGACTAAACCAAACAAAACTATCAAAAGTGTTATTAGCAATTATATAATAAAAATAAATAAAATTAAAGAAATCAATTAAATGATTTTGGGTTGTCTCCCAAAAAGCGCTTTTCTTTATAGCCTTTGAGCTAGACTTCGCCTCGCATCAATTCTGAACATCGAAATTGGCAACGGGTGCCAACTTTATAGGATCAAGTGAGGGTCCCTCATGGTATAATTTGAAGCGATGTCTATTGGCCACACACTTTTTCTTCGGCTTAGAATTTTGATTCTCCTTATGATATTTTTTTGCTGCCAGCAATGGTGATCCCTTGGGAATCCATCTCCACATTTCGACAATCTTTTTTCTTTTCTTACTCTCTCCAGTTGCTCTTTTCTCTAACTGTTTTGTCACAAAGTTCTTCGTTTATTCTTATTACCAACTTCACAAGTTTCCTGCACCACACAATTAATAACATTAATTGCATATAACGATTCAGATTCAACGGGACATTTGACGCGATTAAAAATATTGAAATGAAATTCTTCTCCATCAAACTCCAAGTTGAGTGTGCCCTTTTTAACATCTATTTTTGTTCCTGCAGTGCACATAAAAGGTCTTTCTAACAAAAGAGGCGGTGGATTAGAGCAATGCGCATCATGCATATCCAGAATATAAAAATCAACAGGAAAAATCAATTCATTCACTTGAACTAGTACATCTTCTATCATACCATCGGGATAAGAATGGGTTCGATCACCAAGTTGAATAATAATTCCTGTTTCTTTTAGAGGCCCTAGATTTAAAGAGTCGTATATTGATCGAGGCATGACATTAATAGCAGCTCCTAGATCTAGCATAGCCTTAGTTATCTCAGTTTTTCCAATCTTACAAGGGATAGAAAACATACCTGGATCACCTGTTTTAGGTGGTACCTTTCTTTTGATAACAGCAGAAATGTTCTCACCCGCTATAATATGCTCGTCCCCTCGCAATTTTCTTTTGTTGGTGCACAGTTCTTTCAAAAACTTTGCGTACTTGGGGATTTGGTTGATAGCTTCCAGGAGCGGGATATTAAGTTCCACCTTCTTGAATATTTCCATCATCTTTTTTCGTTTGTTTGCCTTTTGTGGTTTCTTCAACCTGTCAGGAAAATGAGCTGATTTAGTCTCAGTAGGAGGAATAGAGTTAGGAAATACCTTTTCGTGAAGTTCAACTTCTTTTTCATTCTCCATCTCAATCTGATCCTCATTCTGTTCCTTTGAGATAGGAGGTGGACCTTCCAATTTTTTTCCGCTACGAAGAGTTATAACACTCGTATTCTTTGGATTAGACCGGGAAGAACATTCAATATTCGTATCACTGCAGATAGTGATGGCGCTGACATTTGCTGGATTTGGCTCAAGCTGAGCAGGCCACTTTCCTCTTTCACGTAGCTATTTCACCTCCTCTGACACTTGATTGATCTGACCTTGTAATTTGTCGACATTTGACTTCATCTCTTGCTGGAATTGCAGGGTACTGGTAGCCATAGACTTCACCAAGTCTTCCAAAGATGGACCGGAGTTGCTTATGGGTGCTTGGGGCGGCTGTTGCATCTGCTGCATAGCTCCAAATGGTTGATGAGCATTACCATGTTGTGCGTTTCCATAACGCAAGTTCGGATGATCTCTCCAGCCTGGATTGTAGGTGTTGGAGTATGGAGTGTACGCTGGAGGTCTATTCATACCGTAGTTTGCAGTGTTCACATCCACTGCGCATTCTTCTTGGAGGGTCGGACAAGCATCTGTAGGGTGTCCTGCACTCGTGCATATTCCACACACCTTGACTTGGACACTTGGGTTGGATTTTTCCACGACCATCTTGCGAACGAAGCTCGTCAACTCAGAAAGTTGTTGTTGCATCGATTGGATGGCATGGTCACTGTTGTTTCCGCTCATCTGTCCAACATCTCTTGAACCAAATTGCTGCATATTTTCAGCCATCCTCGCAATAAGATCCCAAGCTTGTGCCGGTGTCTTATTCACTAAAACTCCACCACTTGCAGCATCGATAATGTTCCTGTCCATCAACGACAAACCATCATAAAAGTATTGAATCAATAATTGAGGGGGAATTTGATGTTGTGGACATTTAATGATAAGCTTATTGAATCGCTCCCAATATTCATGGAGCGTTTCACCTGATTGTTGCTTGATGCCACATATCTCCTTCCTCAGGATCGCAGCTCTGGAAGCTGGAAAGTACTTCTCCAAAAATTTCTTCTTCATGTCGTTCCACGTGTCGATGCTTCCAGGTGGGACATAGTAGAGCCAATCCTTTGCAGCATCTTTGAGTGAGAATGGGAAGGCTCTGAGTTTGATCTGTTCGTCAGTAACACCTGGTGGTTTCATGCTGGAGCACACCACGTCGAACTCTTGCAAGTGTTTATGAGGTTCTTAACCTGCAAGTCCATGAAAAGAAAGCAATAAATGAATTGATCCAGATTTCAGTTCAAAAGCAACAGTGTTATTGAGTGTTGGAAAGTTAATGCATAAGGGTTGCTGCGCCAAGTCGGGAGCAGCCAACTCCCTTAAAGTGCGGGTGTCCTCAGCCATGACAGTCTCTTGATCACTTTCAGAGTCGGTAGAGCTGGAGATTTTGAGATAGTTTAAAGATTCTGCCAGCTTCACAACCTGAGCAGCTTTTCGTTGCTTGGCTTCCTTTCGCAGCTTTCGCTCAACCTTCTCGATCTCAAGATTAAATATCAGTTCACCTGTACGAGAAGAACGGGGCATAAACAAGAGGATAAATTAAAATAACACAAAAAAGTAAAACAAAGCGCCAATCCCCGGCAACGGCGCCAAAAATTGACCTGTCGCGCATTCAATCAAATATTTCACCTACTCCGTGATCACAATTTAATGTGATATAGGGGAAGGGATCGTCTCCACAGGGATTGTGTGATTCACTCTTTCGTGTTCTAATGCAGTAAATAAAGGGAGATTTTTCTTTTATTATCTAATTAAAATAAAATAACAAAGCAATTAAATTAAAGGGGAACTGACTATAAGGGGATGCCTGGCTCAAGAGATGATGCAGTTATGGCACTTGTGTTCTATCATTAATTCAATTAAATTAATTCTTATTAAAGTATCAATAAATTGGTTATAGTTATCAACAAGCTCTGACAACCAATTTTTCCTTACAGTGTAGGTAATTAAAGTATCACCATTAACTACCCCTAATTAAGCAAATAAACCTAGGTGTGCCCATAAGAATATTGCCTAACCGCATTCCAATCTAGAAAAATTCAATTCAAAATAATTACTACCTAAGAGGAGCAATTAGATTTGATTGTCTAACCCCCGGGAAGGAACTATTCAACCCGGTTGTCACCTATTCAAGTGTGAATACAATTACGGATATCCTACTTGAATTGACTTTAGATTATCAAACTAATTTAAATATCGGTACCAAAATATTCAATCAATCTAACAATCATAAACGCTATTCTCAGAATTAGACAAATATTGATAATCAAAAAGAACTTTTATAAAGAAAATCAAGAATCTCCAAAACAAAAGAACCAAAACATTATCACCCCTCAAACCAGAAAAGTATCTACTCCATAATTAAATAACAAAGAACAAAAGAGAAAGATGAAGTCATAGTGGGAGGGGAAATCTTCTCTGTCGATTTGCTCCTGCGCGATCTATGGATCTGTCAGTCTCCTGCTCCTGTGCGTATCTGCCCTAGCCGTTCTCCCCCTTTTGAAACGTGTGATCCCTCCTTTTATTTAATGTTTGCCCTAATTATTTTGTAGATGGGCTTTTGGGCCTTTAATTAATTTTATTTCTTTTTTTTGCCAATTATGCCAAATTTAATATTTGCCCTCTGCACACAGCAAATAAACAATTCACATATAAATTAGGTAGAATCCAATCAAAATCACCCAATTATCGCATATGATATGAATATAAAACCCATTCGATTTCTAACTATCAATTCGCCCCACGACCCGAAAGAGAACGTCAAGCACCTGGGGCTGCAATGAGAGATTTCTCTGAACCGGGATTGAGGTATGAGGGTTGCTTTGTTTGTCAATCAAAAGAACATTTTGCAAGGGATTGTCCGAACCGATCAAACATTGCCGCAGTGACCGAGGACACTAACCGGATGGAAGAACGAGTGGTGTGCATGAAAGCAGAGGGTGATGGTGAAAAACATCGAGGATGGATGTACATGAATTTCGACATCAATGGGCGCTCGTACTTGTGTTTACTCAACCCGGGGGCGAATGCGAATTACATGAGCAAAGAAATAGCTCAGGAGTTGGGGTTACAATTGGTGTCAACGGAGGGTCGATTCAAGGGAGTAAATAGTGCATGGACATCTTTGACGGGAGTGGCAAAGGACGTACCGATTCAAGTCGGAGATTGGAAAGGTATGGTTAATTTCCATGTTACCCCTATTGATGATTATTTGGTGTTCTCTGCCATGAGATTTTTCGAGCAAACCAAGTTAGCAATGATACCACACGAGGACAAATACACTATTATGGATGGAAGCATGCCATGCGATATCACCGTATACCAGGAGAACAAGTTGACGCCAAAGCAACTTGAAAGAGGCTTGAGGAAAGAAGATCCAACGTTTGCGGCTATTTTTAGCAATGAGGACCTCCTTGGTGACGAGGTCGAGGAGGCCGTTACACCACCGAAGGAATTCAAGGATGTGATGCCAAATGTGTTACCGAAGGGGTTACCACCTCGACAAGCGGTAGACCCCACCATCGACTTGGTGGAAGGTGCAAAACTAGTGACTCGACTGCCACAACGGGTGTTGCCCAACGAAACAATCGAGTTGGAGAAACAAACTGGGAAACCTTTGGAAGCAAAGTTTGTTGTCCCGTCAAAGAGCTCTTTAGGTACACCGGTGTTCTTTCAACAGAAGAAGGATGAGAGTCCCCTCAAGTGTAATAACCATAGGGTGCAGAAGTTGACAATTCGAGAAGGAGATGAGTTAAAGGCGGAAATCACTACGAGTTGGAGTGTGGTAGACCATGTTGGACACTTGCGGAATGTGTTTCAAGTTATACAAGAAAATCAACTCTATGTCCGGAGAGAGTTTGAGATAGACGAGGTCGGAATCTCAGGGTACATCGTGGCTGATGGAAGAATTCAAGTGGAGTCAGAGAAGGTCAAGATGATCATAGAATGGGAGGCGCCCAAGTCAACTATGGTGAAAGACGAGAGTACCGAGAAGAGCCCATTCGAGATCATGCCCGGTTTCCAACCAATGACTTCGAGAGACTTGGTGAGGGCGTACAAAGGACCGAGTCCACGGGTGTTCCACTTTGCCAAGGGTTGGCCGGGTCGGGCGAAGGTGACGCGGCTATATTCAGAGAAATTCCAGAGATGCAAGAGGGGGGACGGAAAGCGTGGGTTTAAAAAATCCAAAGAGAGGGACTTACCGTTGCTACAATTCTACCAACATGGGTGTATACGAGAAGTGCACAAGGGGTCAACGAGACGATATGAAGGCTCTTTCCGATCATGAAGAAAGAAAGCAAGGTGAAATACAAGGTGGAGCTACCCAAGGGCTTGTCCCAACTCCACCCGGTATTCTATGTTGGTATGCTCGAGCCTGACTATACGGATGATCGGGACCCAGATCAGAATATATCGACAAGAGCACCACCCGGGATGCAGACAGCGTATGACAAAATAGCCGAGGGAATATTAATGGATGGACTAAGGTGCCACAAGAAACATCCGCCTTCGACAGAGTACTTGGTGAGATGGCGAGGCTTGCCCGAGACTAAGACAAGTTGGAAGCCGGAGGAGAAACTTTGGCAATTCAAAGACTTGGTGCATGAGTTCGAGGCATTGAGGACAATGCCTTCATTAAGTGGGGGAGAATGTCATGGACCAAAATCCGTGACCGAAGATGACCGAGAGAAGAAGCCAAAACCCGAAGGCTAGTCCGAGACTTTGTAAATAAAACTAGAACTTGTATAGAGTAGTTGGGAGTTGGTAGATAGTTGGTGAAAGATAGTAGGTAGGGGTTGGTAGATAGTAGGTGGAAGATGGTAGGTGGGGGTTAGTAGAAGATGGTAGGTGAGGTTGGCAGATAGTTGGTGGAATATGGTTGGTGGGCGTTGGTAGATAGTTGGTGAAAGATGGTAGGTGGGGGCTGGTAGATGGTAGTTAGGAGATTATGAATTTGTATAAATAAGTGGTAGTGCTCATTTGTAAATGATCAAGTTGAGAGCAATAACACATACTTTCCCTCACTACTTCCTCTCTCTACGATTCTTGAGTGTTCTTGATCCTGTTCTTGAGCGTTCTTGAAGGTTTCCAAAGAAAGGTTGTACTAGCAACCTCTAAGTGTCCGGAATTTGCTAAGCTGCACGGAAGGTGTTCGATGAACAACCAGGCGGTCCGTGACACAAGGAGAAGAATCCACGGAAGAAAAAAATTGTAAATACTGGTGAAGAGATCAACAATGATCATATACCTGCGAAGGTCAGTACAACCCCTGAAGATGTTGATACTAAAAATTCTGATGAAAGTGAGGATGAAGTTATAGAAACTTCTGTTAACTATACCACCAGTGAAAAATATTGGAACAGAAAGAAAAAAAATATTGATAACGCATTTGCATATTATGTAGCGCTCGATATAATGAAAGATGATGAGGATTATGAACCAAAATCAGTTGATAAATGCCGACAAAGAGATGATTGGGCAAAATGGAAAGACGCAATTAAGTCTGAATGGGACTCATTGAATGAACGGCAAGTATTCGGACCCATAGTCCAAACACCTGAAAATGTGAAAACAGATGGGTGTTTGTGAAAAAAAGAAATGAAAATAATTATATCACAAGATATAAGCAAGGCTTATAGCCCAGGGTTTTTTCCAGAGACCGGGCATTGACTTGAAGAAACATATTCGCCGGTCATGGATGGAATAACATTCAGGTATCTGGTGAACCTGGTTGTACACAATAGTCTTGATATTTGATTAATGGATATGATTACTGCCTATCTTTATGGCTCCTTAGACAATGATGTTTACATGATAATCCCAGAAGGGATTCACATACTTGAATCATTGAAATCAAAGCCAAAAGAATCATATTTCATCAAATTGCAAAAATCTTTGTATGGGCTTAAGCAATCAGGCCGAATGTGGTACAATTGTCTTAGCGAAAGCTTAACAAAAGAAGGTTACATAAATGACCCTATTTGTCCATGTGTTTTCATAAAGAAAAATGGGTAAGAATTTGTAATTATTGTTGTATATTTTGATGATCTCAATTTAATTGGAACTTCTGATCAAATCCAGAAAGTTGTTGAATATTTGAAAAAGGAGTTTGAGACTAGAGATTTTGGAAAAACCAAATT